TAGATAAGATTAAAATCAACAGAACTAGATAGAGATAAGATTTTTAGCAAAGGTCAGATAAGAAACTATAAACATAAAACAAGGAACTGTAAAAGGTCAAAGGAGGACCCAAAACATACCATGATATAACTATAGAGGCATGCTTATAGAATCAAATAGTATAAATACAGCTGTAACAGGACAATAAAAAAGAACATGACTATGCTGATCATCTGAATGGTGTCTCCGTGTCCTTCATTCTTCACCAACGCAGTCCACACCTTTGGAAACCTCTGGACCGCTGGGGCTGGACCCCCGCAGACATCCTGACCCCTATGAGTTATTACAGCCCCGTGACCGTTCAGGGGGTCTGGGATTCTCTGTACAGACAACAGCATCAATCCCATTGTAGGCAGACCCCTTCTGACAATCAATCCTATAAAATAAAAGCCTAATATGCTGAGTGTACCGACTGTTCATTCAACAGTTCAATCAGTCGCTTTGATGCACACTGACCACCAGGGGGCAGACGCTCCGACTGGTAGGTTAGCTTGCTGCTGGGGTCTGGCAGATAGAGACTGGGAAAGAGGACCTGGACATGCCCTAGAGCCCTTCCTGGGTCCCTCCCCAGCCCCGATCATGCACTAGTGGGGTCCCTTGGCCTGGCCTGCACCCTCTGGCAATCCAGGACCCCTCAGGGGATGTCGGAGAGCTGGTTTTGGCCCAATTCCCACAGGCCAGACCTAGGGGCCCCACCGGTGCACCAGGCTTCTAGTACTCTATAATAGGATCTAACTGAATAGGATATTAGCGCCAGGGGAACTGATCATATAAAACAGGGTGGAGCTCAGACTTTTGGATGAGATTTTGACTGGGCTTCTGCATTTCTTACTCTTATACGAAAGCATTTCACTCTAAGTCAGTGGTTCTCAACCTTCCTAATGCCACGACCCTTTAATACAGTTCCTTATGTTGTGGTGACCCCCAATTTCATTGTTACAAATTGAACATAATTAAAGCATAGTGATTAATCACAAAAACAATATGTAATTATATAACTTATTTGCGTTGTTTAACAATAGAAAAGTCATTTTGATTTTCTGAACTATATAAATCATCCCATTCGATTGAATACCCTATTGATTGTAATATGAATCATTCTGCTCTTAGAAAGCACATTTTCCTTTACCTGGGAAGAACAGCACAATTATCCTAAGGTCAGAGGGCTCCAGTTAACGTGTCCCTGTTGACTCAGTGTTCCGGAGACCCAAAAACTGTGATTTAGAGAACATGCTGCTTCTGCTTCTGTAAACTGCTTTTTTGCAAACCAGGTTCCTCATCTAGACCCAAGGTCTCTAGATAATGTGCTTCTGTCAATTCAGTGATCCAGAGACCCAAAACTGTAATTTAGATAACATGCTGCTTCTGCTTCTGTAAACTGCTTTTTTTTTTTTTGCGAACCAGGTTCCTCATTCCAAACCCTGGGATGTAATCAATACCTTTGTGATCTTTGCCTATATAAATCTGGTGTTGCAGCCATCTTATCACTATGAGATTTGAGGAATGGCCCCTCATAGTCCCGGATTTGCAATAAACGTGACTCTTTAATTTGACTTCTTGAGGTGTCTTTGTGTGATTCCCGGGGTACATTACAACATAAGTATATAGTAGGAATATATGATTATACTAGGAAATAGATAACCAGACATACTACTTAAATCTTCAGTGGCTCTCCATTGCTCTTGTTGTAACCCACTCACAGTGGCTCCCTTTTCTGAGAACTGGTCTCTTCACCCGTAAGGCCATGGTCACCATGATTAAATGGCATGGCCTGCGCTCCTGGGAACAGTTTAATACACCAAGGTGGACATTCTCTGCCAGTAATGTCTTCCCAACCCTCTCCCCTCACTCAAACACTGCCATCTAAGGGGTCTTTAGTAAATGACAGCTGGTAGAGATGCAAATAATTTGGGGGGTCGGGGAGGGGAGTTACTTCAAAGGTTATGGTTTTATTGCTCTGTAGGACATTAATCATTTTTGTATCTAACTTGGCAATCTATTCCAGCATTTTTTACACTAACTATATAAACTATTCTTTCAAATGCTGTTATTACTATACTGATTCCTTAATTAGTAAGTTAAGTCAATCTTTGACACATGTTCTTTCTGTATTTGTTAAATTATACTTTTGATAAAGAGCTAATTTCCCACACCCCACTTTTCTGTGTGAAATATAAGAGGCATAAGCCTGGGAGAGTTCACTTGTATTATAAAAGGGTTCGCAATCCAAACCTGCTTCCCAGTAAAGGACTTTTAAAAATATTAATAGTATTTCTATGAGAGGAGTTTCGTCTTCTGGAGCCCACTGAATCTCCCAGAATCCGCATTTTCTGACTAGTGTATCCCATTACCTCCGAAGGCCACCTAACTCAGCCTGGGAGCGGGGTCAGGGTCTTTGACTCAGCTCAGCCTCCCAAACATCATCTTGCAATATCTGAAAAAAATATTTAGAATAAGTCCAAACTGTTCTACTTGGCCTTCAATCTCACCCCCACCTACACTATTACCCAGATCCGCCTGATGAAGCACAAATAATAATGGGCCACCTGCACGGAATAATAAACTCACTTGGGCACTGGACTCCGAGCAGGGAGTTCAATCAGGACTTTGACCACTTTGGGAAAGTCACCTAATTAATGTTTTCTGGACCTCAATTCCCACACCAACAAAACGAAACAATGACCTAGCGCGTCCCCGCCCACCTGCTCCCCAGCCCCGCCCTCGCGATCCGGCC